ATGTGTGTATTATATATGTGTATATATATATATGTGTTATATATATATATATTGTGTGTGATATATATATAATATGTGTGTGTGTGTTATATATATATATATGTATGTGTGTGTGTGTGTGTGTGTATATATATATATATATATATATATATATATATATATATATATATATATGTATATATATATATATTATATATATATAAATATATAAATATAATATATAATATAAATATAAAAAACACCCAGCACGCCCCTGCGGGCGGTTTATCCTTCAAGCTCGGGTCCTCTACCAGAGGCCTGGGAGCTTGAGGGTCCTGCGCAGTATCTTAGCTGTTCCCAGGACTGCGCTCTTCTGGACAGAGATCTCTGATGTTGTTCCTGGGATCTGCTGGAGCCACTCGCCTAGCTTGGGAGTCACCGCACCTAGTGCTCCGATTACCACGGGGACCACCGTTACCTTCACCCTCCACATCCTCTCGAGCTCTTCTCTGAGCCCTTGGTATTTCTCCAGCTTCTCGTGTTCCTTCTTCCTGATATTGCTGTCATTCGGAACCGCTACATCGATCACTACGGCCATCTTCTTCTGTTTGTCTACCACCACTATGTCCGGTTGGTTAGCCACCACCATTTTGTCCGTCTGTATCTGGAAGTCCCACAGGATCTGAGCTCGGTCATTCTCCACCACCCTTGGGGGCATCTCCCATTTTGACCTCGGGACTTCCAGGTTATACTCGGCACAGATGTTCCTGTACACTATGCCGGCCACTTGGTTATGGCGTTCCATGTATGCCTTGCCTGCTAGCATCTTGCACCCTGCTGTTATGTGCTGGATTGTCTCTGGGGCATCTTTACACAGCCTGCACCTGGGGTCTTGCCTGGTGTGATAGACCCCAGCCTCTATGGATCTTGTGCTCAGAGCTTGTTCTTGTGCTGCCATGATTAGTGCCTCTGTGCTGTCTTTCAGTCCAGCTTTGTCCAGCCACTGGTAGGATTTCTGGATATCAGCCACCTCCTCTATCTGCCGGTGGTACATACCGTGCAGGGGCCTGTCCTTCCATGATGGTTCCTCGTCTCCCTCCTCTTTCTTGGGTTTCTGCTGCCTGAGGTATTCACTGAGCACTCGGTCAGTTGGGGCCATCTTCCTAATGTATTCTTGGATGTTCGTTGTCTCATCCTGGACTGTGGTGCTGACACTCACCAGTCCCCGGCCCCCTTCCTTCCGCTTAGCGTACAGCCTCAGGGTGCTGGATTTGGGGTGAAACCCTCCATGCATGGTAAGGAGCTTTCTTGTCTTTATGTCAGTGGCTTCTATCTCCTCCTTTGGCCAGCCTATTACCCCAGCAGGGTACCTGATCACGGGCAGGGCGTACGTGTTGATGGCCCGGATCTTGTTCTTACCATTCAGCTGACTCCTCAGGACTTGCCTGACCCTCTGCAGGTACTTGGTGGTTGCAGCTTTTCTAGCGGCCTCTTCATGGTTCCCATTCGCCTGTGGGATCCCCAAGTACTTGTAACTGTCCTCTATGTCTGCAATGTTGCCTTCTGGTAGTTCAATCCCCTCAGTTCTGACTACCTTCCCTCTCTTTGTTACCATCCGACTACACTTCTCCAGTCCGAACGACATTCCAATGTCATTGCTGTATAGCCTGGTAGTGTGGATCAGTGAATCGATGTCTCGTTCACTCTTGGCATACAGCTTGATGTCATCCATGTACAGGAGGTGGCTGACAACTGCTCCGTTCTGTAGTCGGTATCCGTAGCCAGTCTTGTTAATGATCTCACTGAGGGGGTTCAGGCCTATGCAGAACAGCAGTGGGGACAGAGCATCTCCTTGGTAGATCCCGCACTTGATGGTGACTTGTGCTATGGGCTTGGAGTTGGCCTCTAGTGTTGTACGCCACATCCCCATTGAGTTCCTGATGAAGGCTCTTAGGGTCCCATTGATCTTGTACAATTCTAGGCATTCCAGTATCCAGTATATATATATATATATATATATACATATATATATATATATATATACACATATATATATATATATATATATATATATATATATATTATATATATATATATATGTATATATATATATATATGTATATGTGTGTGTGTGTGTGTGTGTATATGTGTGTGTGTGTGTGTGTGTATTTTTTTTTTTTTTTTTTTTAATTCAAGCTTCAGTGAATTAAAATGGTCAAACCCCAAAACATTTTCTATTTTACGGACGTTTTCCACTTTTTTTCAAAGGAAATTTATAAGCATGCTATTACTTTATGCATTTTTTTTCTTTCAAATTATGTTTCGGTTATTTGTGTTTGCTATTATACTCACCTCTTACATGCACGAGCAACTTTAAACATATTCAAGTGGGCTAAATGGCTAGCTGTGATACTGTTTTTTTAATATGAACTGTGTAACATTTTATTTATAAAAGCTTAGCAACAGTTAAACGTGTAAGCTGGTCACTACCAAGTGACATTAGCAACTTTCTTAAGGAACTGATAGTGTCTAAGTATAGGTAAGTAAAACAAACGATACATAAATCTGAATATAGTTTCTGTTTTGTTTTATAGAACCAAGACACATTATCATGATACTTTCAACAAAGATGTCATCCTTCTTCCACGGCCATCAAGCAGTGTTGTTGTCAAGCATCGCACAAAACAACATTTACATGAACAACGGCATATATTGAATGGATTTGAATTCCAAAAATCCTGGGACCAGAAAACTGTCTCTGAACAAATAAGGGACGCCTTTGGAGATAAACTTTCTATTGATGTAAGGTAGGTTGTGCTAGCAGTCGAAACCTAATGCGACACAGCTTTTGTCAGTAGTCTTTTCGATATCTAGGCATTTCAAAGCTTTACATAATGATTTAAGTCAGAGAACAGGTAGACATGAATCAGTAAAGTAAACTAAAAGAACCAAATCAGTTATCCTTTCTTGAACACTCCATTTTTGGCATACTTTTTTGACATTTGTATAAAGTTTACTTCTGTTACTACTGGTTTAAGTCTGATTCAAAGACGAAAACAAGATTAGCTCTAAAAAAGTTATTGGAACATTTTTGCTGTTTTGGATTTTAAACATTTTACAACTTAACTGTTTTCCAGCCTGGAGTTCCTGATGGCTTGTGGCAACATACTGATTGCGCCCAAACTGCGAGCAGGACAGGAGCTGGATGCAAATCTCATACATAAAATTTATAAATCGAAAGCCCTATACATCAGACCATCAAAACCAATTTTGGTACGTTATTTGACTTTTGAATGAATCTACCTAGCACTGTACAGTAATAATATGAAGACCAAAAATTGGTGCATAAACAACCTTTGAACTTTCTCATCTCTGTTCTTTTTAAACTTGCCTTTCACCTTTTTAGTTGGATAGAATAGTACCAAGTTAATGTTCCTTTTTTAAAATGTTAATCCTAAGCTCTGGTATTGACTAAATTTACAGCTGCTCTGTTGGACTGTTTGTGAATCATAGAACGTAAGACTACTGCTGTTCAGGAGATGTGTTACAATTTGGTCTGCCTAGTATGTAAAAGTAATTGTGAGAAAGATCTATTAACTCTTGAAATTTCTCACCCTATGGTAGCTGGGATAGGCTCCAACCACCCCACCTCTGATAAGAATAAGCAGAAGAGGTTGGATATATGGTATTTAATGTTCAAATTCAAAATATGTGAATTAATATAATTATTATTTTATTTCTAAGGATGATATTACAAGCTACAGCAGTGAGGGAAAACTGTGAAGAAAACCCTGTTTCATCAAGGCAGCTGCGCTCATCATCTTCAGACAGTTTTGCCAGTTCAACAGCTGCCTTCCAACCAATCTCTGCTCCGACGCAATCTCCTGCCTCATCAGTTTGTAATGGAACATTATTAACGGAAACTCCTGCCTTGACCCATGAAAGTAGTATCTCACACAAGTACAGCAGCGCTTCAACAAACATTTCCTTCAGCCAGTTACCAGTGTCTTCATTGGAAATCTCCCCTTCCACTAGTCAGCCTTCTACCTCATCATCTGCATCTTTAAGTGATCCAGTTCTGGTCCTGACGTGCCGAAATACCTCAAGCTCACCCTACCAGACCAGGAATCCAGAGAATCATTGTTCAGCATTACCCTCTACATCAACACACAGTCAATCTGTAAACTACGATAACTACCTTTCAATCATGACTCCACTATCTGACATGTCTTCTGATGATGAGGAACTTAACCAGGCTATACTAGCAAGCCTGCAGAGCGAAAGGTTAGTTTCAAATACAAATGTTTTACAGTAGCCAATTAAACACACCATATTTGTTGCAATCCAATACTGTAACCAGTGTTGTGAAGGAGTGTAATCCATCCTCAGATATTTATATGCATATATGATATTTATATTTGCTGTTAACAAAACAGTTTTTTGAATAATGTCTACAGAGTCAAATGATAATGCTGTAATGCTGGCAAATTTTATTTTATTTGAAATAGGCAGCGAATTTTTAACAGAGCCTATCTGACAATGAAGTGAAATTTACTTATTGTTATTTACTTATTGTGCATTGAAACTATTTTTCTTTGCTCTAGTGCTTTCTAGTTCTCCAAAACATATAAACAATACAAAAAGCCACTGAGCAATATACTTCTTTGTACATTTTGCTTATGATTATGATAATTTCCTTTAGGGATTATTAAAGTATGCTGATTCTGATTTTGACAAAACTTTGTATGTCCTTGTAGCCCTTGTATGTGAATGTTTTTACTGATGTTCTTTTCAATATTTTTTCTTTTTTTTTTTTTTTTTTTTTTTTTTAATCCTACAGGACTTCAAGTTGTTTGGTATCAGCAAAAGATATTTTGGAGGAACTTTCTGCAAAAGTAAACCAGCAGAAGAAATGCAAGTTCAACATTAATAGATCAACAGTCCTGGATGGAGCAATTAGAGGTTTTAAACGAGCGACATATGATCCATGCCACACAATTTCTGTCAGGTTTTCTGACGATATGGGAGTACCTGAAGAGGCTGTTGACTTGGGTGGACCAAGAAGAGAATTTCTAAGACTTCTGATCAAAGCTTTGCCCCTGTCTCCAATGTTTGAGGGTGAAGAAGGCAAAATGAACTTGGCGCTTGATAGTGCTGGTATGTGATGGACCGAGTTGAAAAACAGGAGGAGCCCAGGAATTATTAGAAAAATATAGTTTCCATTTATTTAACCCCCAAAAATTATATTTACAAGACTAATAAATGTTGAGCTCATAAAAGAGGTCAAAGACACAAAACTGAACTCGGGCAAAGACTGCAAACTTAACAAACCAAATGACTGCCACAAACAAACATAATTGACCTAAACATGAAATGACATACAAGGGTATATATAATGGCTGATCAGACCATTGTGACACATGAGGGGTAACAAACAAAACTAAATCATAAATCACAAACGATGCAGTACAATCTAGTTTGTTAATAAACTAAACACTAAAGAAGAAAACCAAAAACCCCATTAAACCCTAAACTCAAAAATGTAATTAAATACAAATACTTTGTTTTTGCGGTTTTCGTCCTGGTCGCGGAACACTGGACCAGCTCTTTATCCTCTCCAGGATGCTTGAGGGTGCATGGGAGTTTGCCCAACCAGTCTACATGTGTTTTGTGGACTTGGAGAAGGCATTCGACCGTGTCCCTCGGGGTGTCCTGTGGGAGGTGTTGCGGGAATATGGGGTGTCTGGCCCATTGCTACGGGCCATTCGATCCCTATACAACCGTTGCAAGAGCTTGGTTCGCATTGCCGGCAATAAGTCGGACTCGTTCCCGGTGGGTGATGGGCTCCGCCAGGGCTGCCCTTTGTCTCCGGTTCTGTTCATAATTTTTATGGACAGGATTTCTAGGCGCAGCCAAGTGGCGGAGGGCTTTCGCTTTGGTGGCCTCAGAGTCTCATCTCTGATTTTTGCAGATGATGTGGTTCTGTTGGCTTCATCGGGTGAGGGCCTCCAGCTCGCACTGGAACGGTTCGCAGCCGAGTGTGAAGCAGCGGGAATGAGGATCAGCACCTCCAAATCTGAGGCCATGGTTCCCAGCCGGAAAAGGGTGGAGTGCCCACTCCGGGTCGGGGATGAGTTCCTGCCCCAAGTGGAGGAGTTCAAGTATCTCGGGGTCTTGTTCGCGAGTGATGGGAGAAGGGAGCCGGAGATCGACAGACGGATTGGGGCTGCAGCTGCAGTAATGCGGACGCTGCACCGGTCCGTCGTGGTGAAGAGGGAGCTGAGTGTAAAAGCGAAGCTCTCAATTTACCGGTCGATCTACGTCCCTACCCTCACCTATGGCCACGAGCTGTGGGTAGTGACCGAAAGAACGAGATCGCGGATACAAGCGGCAGAAATGAGCTTCCTCCGAAGGGTGGCTGGCCTCTCCCTTAGAGATAGGGTGAGAAGTTCAGCCATCCGGGAGGGGCTCAGAGTAGAGCAGCTGCTGCTCCACATCGAAAGGAGCCAGCTGAGGTGGTTCGGGCATCTGACAAGGATGCCCCCTGGGCGCCTCCTGGGTGAGGTGTTCCAGGCAAGTCCCACCGGGAGGAGGCCCCGGGGCAGACCCAGGACACGCTGGAGAGATTATATCTCTCGGCTGGCCTGGGAACGCCTTGGTATTCCCCCGGATAAGCTGGAGGAGGTGGCTGGGGAGAGGGAGGTCTGGGCCTCTTTGCTTAGGCTGCTGCCCCGCGACCCGGCCCCGGACAAAGCGGATGAAGATGGATGGATGGATGGATGGATGGATGGATACTTTGTTTTTAAAGTAAAGAAAACACACATTCCCCCCTTCAGCAGGAGGTGGTGGTATGGTCCAATTATCTTCCTTTCCATTTAATGGTTTCAAACCCTTGCTACCATCTTTTGTCCGGCAACTCCCAGGGATGATAGCAGGTAAGAAATAAAAAGACAAAGGTTAGTCAGAAAGCAAAGAAATGAAGTAGTATGAATACATAAGTAAACTAAATGTGCGCGCTTAAAAATAGAACAAATGTATCCAAACCAATCAATAAAGTTATTGGAAACTAAAATGTATTACTATGTTCAAATGAAGAATGAAAATACAAAAGTTACCGACTTTAGAGTGTGGCCACGGGTTTGGCCATCACATGGTATGTATTGATTTTAGGCTGATATCCCTCGAGTAATGCAATAAAAAAATCGTTTTTATGAAGTTCTTGTCAAGCGCTTTCATGCATCTATTGACATGTAATGTTTTTCATTATTTCTAGCCATGAGGGAGGACAGGTACTTCATTGCAGGCAGAGCCATTGCAGTAAGCCTTGTACATGGTGGTCCACCAGCAGGCTTTCTGTCCCCAACACTCTTCTCTTGCCTTGTTGATGGCCCAGATTTGGCTAAACCAGTTTTAGAAGATGTTGCCGATAGTGACCTGCGTGAAAAAATTAAAAGGGTAAAACTGATTTGTCAGTTGTTGGATAATGTTTTAGTATTGTGTGCATTTCATTCTACTCCATGTATTAATTGGGGCCCATTAATTTTTTATTTTTTTATTTGAAGGTTAAAGAGTGTAAATCCTTTGAAGATCTGATAGTAGCAACTGAGCCACTTCAGGAATACTTAGCCAATGCTGGCTGCCTGAGGCCGCTACGGAGGCTGGAAGACAAGGATCTGCTTATACATGACATTATCAAAGTCAAGTCAAAGTCAACTTTATTGTCAATTCTGCCACATGTACAGGACATACAGAGAATAGAAACTTCGTTACTCTCAATCCCTAGATAAAATAGAAAATGAACATTTAAATATAAGAGTGATTAAAAATGCAAGTAAAATATTTTAAAGTAAAAAAAATTAAATAATATAGTACAATTTTACATATAACAAGAAAGCTATACAATATACAATATAAGGGTAAATGACATTGAGTGCAAACCAGGCAGAGTAGTGCAAATAGGCAAATAGTGCAAATGGAGATTTGGTAATGTACGGTATGAGATAGTGTAACACAAAGTCTTATGAGGTAATGGCAGTCCAATGCTCCACAAAGTGACTGGTAACTGGTGCAGGCCAGTGAGTGAGTAAGAGAGTGTGTGTGTGTGTGTGTGTGAGTGTGTGTGACAGAGTTCAGTGAGACCGTGGAGGAGAGAGGGGAGAGGGGGCAGAATCGGGAGGGAGTTAAGCTTCCTGACAGCCTGATGGATGAAGCTGTCCTTCAGCCTGCTGGTCCTGGCCTGGAGACTCCGCAGTCTCCTCCCCGACGGCAGCAGCTTGAAGAAGCTTTGCATTGGGTGCGTGGGATCAGCCGCTATGCAAAGGGCTTTTTTAGTGAGACGGGTGCTGTAAATGTCCTGGAGGGAGGGGAGAGAGACACCAATGATCCTCTCTGCAGCTCTCACTATGCGTTGGAGGGTTCTATGACAGGACGCATTGCAGGCTCCAAACCACACAGTGATGCAGCTCGACAGGATGCTCTCGATGGTGCCTCTGTAGAAAGTGTGCATGATGGGGGCTGGTGCTCCTGCTCTTCTTAGTTTGCGGAGAAAGAAGAGACGCTGCTGTGATTTCTTGGCCAGTGCTGTGGTGTTGTACGTCCAGGAGAGATCCTCTGTGATGTGCACACCCAAGAACTTGGTGCTGCTCACTCTCTCCACAGACAGTCAATGGTCAGAGGAGCATGTTGGGTGTGCATTCTCCTGAAGTCCATTATCATGTTCCAAGTAATACACAGAGTCCGTGGTCCATTTGAAAGGTATGTATGTATGTATGTATGTATTTATTGTTGTCCAATAAGTAACTCAAACCCATGCTGATTGCCTTGTATTCTGGGAATTTTGTGTGACATTTCTTTATGTGTAGGTACACCATGCCTCCAAAGGTGACAGCATCACATGAAAAATGCATGATTTGGGATATACACTTTTGATGATGTGAATAATCGGAAGTAAAAATTATTGTATATATAAATTCATATGTTTTAGATTATACTTCTTGGATCCATTCATTTTTGATGTGATTTTAAAGGTAATTCTGATTATCATTTAGATTTCAGGATGGACTACGGACACTTGAGGTGCTGGACAAAATCCAAGCTCACCCAGAGAGTTTTCGCACCCTTCTATGCTGGTCACCTTCAGTGCTTACAGCTGACCTTCTTGACAGCCTCTTTACCATCTGCCTTTCTCCAGCTGGGAGCAATAAAAGGCATGCTGAAGCAGTTGTCATTAGTTTCTGGAGAGACTACCTAACAGATGCAGAAGGTAAATTTAGCGTTTTAAGCATTGTATGTTCAATTTATAATGCGGTGCATCTTTTCATTGAATCAGTTAAAAGTATAAATGCTTGCTGTGTTTTTTGTCTTTAATGCCATTTTTGACAGTATTGCTTTTCCTTTAGATCAAGACGGAACACAGAAGCTGGGGACAATTCTTGCCTTCGCCACTGGAGCCAACACTGTTCCACCAATTGGCTTCTCTCCACAACCGTCCATTGAATTTCTTCACCAAGAGCCTGATGCACAAGCCATGTCTAAACTACCCATTGCAAACACGTGCATCAATTGTTTAAAGTTACCACTTCATACCTCTTACAAAGACTTTCAGGAGAATATGGACTTTGCATTAGGTAATACACATGGTTTTGGAATAGCTTAATTCCTAGTCAGGTTAGTATGCTAATCTGAGTTTTGCACTCAGTTAAATTAATGAGTGTCAATCATTAACTAATTCTAAAGGGGGGGGGGGGGGGGTGTTTTGAATATCAATGCATTTTCTTTCTCAGAAATCAAACCAAAAATGTTCAAAATGTTCCACCTAAAACACCAATTAACACACTTGAGACCAAGCTGAATTTACTTTGTTGCCATATTTCATATTTCACCCACCTATTTTGTGATTGGAGGCTCTGTTTTTGCATTGACCTTTTAACAAATGTTCATTTGCTTCAAGTCTATTTGCTTGTCAGGGTACCATTCTACAAGTATACAATAGTTATATATACTAACATAATTCAATAATAATTTTTTCATTGCATTAATGTATGTGCATTGTGATTATTTTTGTTTTCTAGCTTTGTACTTGTTTGTTGCTTTTATTCTCTGGTGTTCTTCAATATTGTTTATCTGACACTTCTATTCTATTTGATCAGTGATCCATGTTTGATGTATTTACTGACTGTATTAATGTTAATGTTATCAGTTTGAGTCCTCTTGTTCCAAGACAATACATCTGGTGATTGTGATGACCAAAAACCTCAATAAAATGTGGTTGAACAAATTTATTTTTTCTTTTAACAAGGTGTTTTAAAACAAAACATGGTTGTAAAATCTCAACAGACTCACATAATACAACTCATAAATTCTTTAAAATTGTATACAAACTGTCAACATGCATGTAAAGGTTGATAGTAGCATTCTTGAAATTTAAAGCTGTGACTAAACTTCTAATAATACTGAACTAACAACAGTCTTGGCACTGTATTCTTTTTAAGCTGCACAACCACAATTACAGTAAATGAAATTTCTCCAGAGGCCTTATTGATATTTTAGGATTGTCTCTCAAGAAAACGAACAAGGTTGCAAAATAAATCTATACCGTTATTGCCATCATCTTCAAATGGATCAAAGGTCTGTTGAAGTGTAACCATCATGGTGTCACTGATGGAAATGTTAATTGATGGAACAATGACATTATTGTTTGTCTCCAGCTCTGGCAGTGGTCTGCATCCATCAATACCAAAGTCATTTTCACAAATACCATTCATATTTGGGTTATGTATTCCTGCATTGTTGATAATGCCCCTTTGCCACAGCTGAAGAGGGGTTTGCCCTCCTTGTGTTGAAAGTCCATGGTTATTCCACTGGTTCTGAAATTCTGTGGCAGCTCTTTGAATACATGGCAAATATATATAATGAAGACAAAATAAATGGACCTCATTAAGTGAATCTAATACACCATGCTCCTCCATAAAATTGAAAAGATTAACAAAATGATATGAGACCACTCGATTTAATTCTGCCCATAATCGCTCAATTCTTTGATTATGCACAGACCTGCCAGTGATAACACTATGCCTGTTCAGTCCTTGCCTGTAAAGCATGAAACGGGCAACACCAGTGTTTTCTAGCCCGTGATCACATCTCACTCTGGATGGCATTCCAAAGTTCTGAACACCAACCATGAACAGTGACAAAACACTTGATGCCCTGTTGTTATCTAAACACGCAAGGTAGATGATGGTTCTACTGAAACCATCCACACAGCCATGGAACACCATCCTCCATCTCACAAGTTTGTGGTTTCCATCTATATGCCTATAGAAAAATGAAATAAGTATAAGTTATGTATGGGGAAACTATGACATGGTCAAGGATATGCACACGTTTGAGTAAATAAAACAATGAGTTATTTTGCTTTAGATAATCCATTTTACTATAGACTTAGAATCAGGACTGTTTTTCTGTTAGAATTTTCTCACCATAACTGATTGGGGAAAGGAACACTGTACAGTCGTCGACGTATTGCATTGCGTCTTCTGAGGGAACGTCCAAAGGGGTCAATTTCTTGTAGACTTTGTCTTACACGCCACCTTTGGATTCGTAACCCACGTGATCTCAAGCTGCCATGCACATATTGTTCACCTGCATTTGTGGTATACTGAAGAATTTCCCTAACAACCCTGTTCAGGTTTTCATCGGATAATGTTGCATAAGTCAGTGGCTCAATGCCAAGGTCCTCTCTGTGCCTGTACAGAGTACGGGAGCTAACCCCTAAGCATGTTGCAATGCTTTGCCAGTTCATTCCAAGAGATACTAAATGAGATATTTGTTCTCTTGAAATGCTGTATCGCGGTCGACCTTGAGAGCAAGTCATGAGAGGTGGAGGTAGCAAGACAAGTCTGTTCTCAGATGTAGTTCCTTGTCTGGTTTCATAAGCAGTCAGTAAAAAAAATAGCCATCCATTTAAGGACTGTAATGTATTCACTGCTTCTCTATTTCTTGCATCGTCAACAAATCTTGAGATGGACAAAATTCCAGATGAGGTTTGAATGTGATCACCAAGTTCTCTATGGAGCCTCTGACGAACAAAAGAATCTGTAGCTTCTCTTTGAATTTGTTCCAAACATTCTAATACATTATTTAAAAATGTTCTAATGTCATTTTCATTACTACTTACTCGACAAATTAACTGCAATACTAGCAAAGAAAGCAGGATGACTTTGAACAGCTTCATTGCTTGGTTCTTCTGGTTTAGGTCTGGGTATGTCAAGTAAGTTCTCCAAGTGTATTACATTTCCTGGTTTAAGAATAACTTCCTGCTTAAAGGATTAACTTCCTGTGTTAGGAAATGCAGATGTGAATGTCAGAGTGTATGTATGCAAGGGTAAAGGATAAACACTGGGATTGTATGTATATATGAGTATAGGAGTACAAATATATATGTGTTGAAAGGTAAAGGGTATGTATATATATGTATGACTAGAAAGGGCTGCACCTGCAAGGAGAATAAATATATGTCAGCATAAAAATATGTAGCATTAAGAAAAATAGAATACATGTGTGTGAAAGGAAGATTAATGGATTTATGTGAGAGTGAATATACATGGATATGAAATAAGAATAAAGGTGTGCGAGATGACAATATATGTATGTATGTGAGAGTGACAATACATGTGCATGAAAGAAGAATATATGTATGTGAGAGTGAAAGTATATGTGAGTGAAAGAAGAATATATGTATGTGAGAGTGAAAGTATGAATTTTGGCTTGTACGGCCCCTCATACAAATCTGTTTTCTGCTCATATTGTAAAACTCTATCATCTTCCCTGTGCAGAGGAGTACGAGTACGAGTACTTGCATTTCAGTACTCGTTGATACCGATACTGAGTACTTAATAAAAACATGATTTAAATTTGCAGGTAACAGCTTTAGTCCTATAATTTAACAAAAAACAAACAAACAAGGGACTAGTTTGGAATTAAGAACATTTATTTAAAATGAAAAGCATGTTGTATGCAACATATTACAGAATAAATAATTATAAAAAAAACAAAATTTAATTTTAAATTTGTTCCTCTGTTTCTCTGTTTAGAAGTCTCACTAGCACAGTCACAGCTGGGATGACATCAGAGACTAGTGCGCCGTAGCTGCTCACTTTTTTTAGTTAGTTCCTCAAAGGGGGCGAGGATAGCAACAGTCGTCTCCATAAGAGCCCATTGGTGAGCGGTGAGATAGTCAGGGAGTTCGTGCACTCGCTTTTGCTCAATGAGGGACTGGAGCATGTAATACGTGCTGTTCCAGCGCGTCTGTACGTCCTGCTGCAGTCTCTTTATTGGCTGGTTGAGCTGTCCCTGAATGTCCTCGAGGCGGGAGTAGGCTAAGGCGGAATGTTTAAAATGCCCAACTATTTTCCGTCCCACTGCTATAGCATCAGCTATGCTCCTCTGTGCTAATAAGCGTAAATTGCTTGTGTTAAATGCGCTACCTTTAGAGCCTCCTCTGGACAATTTCGCTGAGCACAATTTGCAGTCCGCCTATGTTTTCGCGTCTTCGTTCACTTTGAAATAGTTCCACACAGCTGATATGTCTCGCCTCACTTTCTCCCCGCTCTGAGCAGCAGCCGGGGCGGGCACTCGGCGCCTGTGATTAACCCCTTATATGCCGCTCAAACATAGACAGGTCTCAGACCGTGGTATCGGTCCTTGGTATCGGGGGACTTTTAACGAGTACTAGTACTTTAGAAAATGTGGTATCGAGGCCGATACCCGATACCGGTATCGGTGCATCCCTAATTACAAGTCTTCCTCCCCAACCAAATCTACTAAGGGGACACCGAACTTTTGCTCTCCAGAGATGATTATGTAGGTGTTCTGTAAGGATGACGAGTTTTGAAAAAAGTTAGGTTATACAGATCCCCTCTCAGTATACCTGCTGCTCATATCTCATCATTTTTCTGTGCATTGGTATGTGGTATTCCTCACACTGTGCTCCTCAGTTACACCCCCTGCCCAATCCAATCCTCACACTGCTTCCTCTCTCATAACTGTGTCTCAATTTCCATTTTATATTGCACAAACTAATGGACTGACAGAGTAGGTAGGAAAGCGTGGTGAAATGGCACTTTGGCTAATCTAGCTTCCTGTTTATACGTGGAAAATGTAACGGTTATAGACCCTGTGCACGAGAAAATGCTAATTTCTTGTTTTAAGACCGGATGTAGGGTTGGACTGCGAAGGTGGACTCCAAAATCATGTCCAAAATACAAAAACGGAGAGATCGCATTAAGTTAAAAAGAGCAGGAGGTGGAAACAGTCACCATTGCTGTGTCATAAAAAATCAAATGTTACATTTTGACGTTTGAAGCATGTAGATCGATTGGTTGTTTACATCACTCAACACAAGCAAAATTGCATTACAAAATCAGAAGACACATCGTCCACATTCAGAAGCACATCTCTGTATAGTGACAGTTCTTATGATTTAAAGAGGGAAATGTCCAGTATTCAAACTACAGGTGAACAATGGAATAGAATAGAATGCCTTTATTGTCACTATACAGTTGTACAATGAGATACAGAGCATCTCCTACTCAGTGTAAACATGCTGGGGGGGTACAGTTATATATAAATGTACAAATATACAAGCCGGTTTAAAAAAAAAAGTAATATGTAATAAATAGTGTTGTGTATATACAGTTGAGTTATTGCACATAGAATTGGTATTGCACTGTGGTGGTCCATAGAGGAAGTGGGAAGAAAAAAATTGGGGGGGGGGCCTGCGTTATCGGTGCATGTGTGAGGTCAGGGTGGTTATGGCTTTGGGGAAGAAACTGTTTTTGAGTCTGTGGGTTTTTGTGCTGATGCACCTGTAGCGTTTCCCTGAGGGAAGCAGGCCGAACATGTTGAAACCAGGGTGGGAGCTGTCCTTGATAATGTTTGCTGCTCTGCTGAGGCAGCAGGAGGAATGATGATGATCTTTTGTGCTGTCTTGACCACACTCTGAAGCCTCACTCTATCTGCCTTGGTGCAGCTGCCGTACCATGCCGTGATGCAGTAGGTTAGCAGGCTCTCAATGGACGAGCGGTAGAAGGTCAGCAGCAGGTTGGAGTTCAGCTTGTACTTCCTGAGGACTCTCAGGGAGTGCAGCCGCTGTTGGGCCTTCTTGATGACCGCTGAGATGTTGTCTGTCCAGGAGATGTCAGCAGAGATGAGGACACCAAGGAACCGGAAGGTGTGGACCCTCTTCACACACTCCCCGTTGATGTAAAGGGGGGCCAAGTCAGTGCTGTGTCTCCTGAAGTCAACAATGAGCTCTTTGGTTTTCTTAGTGTTCAGTGCCAGGTTGTTTTCTGAACACCATGCTGCCAGCTTCAGGACTTCCTCTCTGTAGTCTGCCTCATCTCCCTTTGAGATGAGTCCGACTACCGTGTTGTCATCAGCAAACTTGATGATGAGAGTGTTGTTGTGGGTTTAACTGCAGTCGTGGGTGTAGAGAGAATAGTCAAAGCCAGATGTTTCCCAGATGTCTCTATATAATATTTACGAAGGGTATGTTGTGACTTATCTTCACAATTACAGTGGTCCCTCGCTATGGTTCACCTTAAGCAGCCTCGCTGTTTCGCGAGTTTGCATGCTTGTTTTTTTTTGTTCTGCGTCCTGATCAGCTGTAGACCATTGTCGATCTCCTCCGTGCTGTCTCTCCTGTACAGTACAGAATGGCTTCATCAATCGCTAGCAGTGTGACTCTGAAGTGCTGTACTGTATGTTTGTAAGTTTTCTCCCCAACAAAAAACAATGTCGGCGAAACGTTTTGCACCGTCATAGGCAGCTGACTGAAAACTGGTATTGATCTTCGGTTTCATTCTATAATACTGGACTTTTTTTTTCTTGAACTTTGAGAGTGTTTAAACGAGAGAGAAAAGTGGGACAATGTCGATGCCTGTCTGAGAAAAGTGTATAAAGTGTGTAGTGAGGGGTTTTACAGCCTTAAAACATATAAAATAATTGTAAAAAAAATAAAGTTGGCTATTTTGCGGATTTCACCCATTGCTGGTTATTTTTAGAACATAACACCCGCGATAAAGGAGAGAACACTATATACAAATACTGAGAAATATTCTCTATTTTGCTCTGAGGCCAGGGGGAAAAGTATCGACAAGTCGATGAACGCCATCTACAGATGTATTCGGTAAATGCTCAAGACATCTTGAGAAATGTAAATCGCCGCTTGAGTCATCCATTTGGTTGACTTTTTTTTTTTTTTTTTTTTTAATAATGACCATAAACAAGGTGCGAATATCACACCGAAAACGAAGCGCCTTACAGGAGTTTCCCCACCAGAAGTCGCATATGCTAAGGTACACATAGTCTATTGGTAAAAAATATATAAGAGATGGTAATAACACGACTAGATTTTCATTCTTTAACCTGGTCTGATGGTTGTAGAATGTGAAAAGCAGTGTGTTTGTGTCTTTGTAACAAATGACTTTAAAAATAACAATAAATTAACCCTTTCACACAGCTATTCAAAGGTTGTTTTCTTGTATTTGTGTCAGTGTTGCTGGTGTACTTGCACATAAACCACTACATTGGACACTGATGTGTCACTCCATACCTTGCCTCCCACTGGTCGTCTAATGTTACTATAGACGTATGACATGTTTCATTGTAATTATTGTTATTTAACCCTTGTGTGTGAATGTGTGTGTGAATGGGTGGATGACTGGATATGTAAAGCGCTTTGGGGTCCTTAGGGACTAGTAAAGTGCTATATAAATACAGGCCATTTACCATTTCATGCATGAATTGTGACAACCTCAATCACAATTTTTTTCTTAGGTATTTTTATTTATCTTTTCATGCCTAAAGATGAATAAAAATACTTAAGATCCAAATCTGGATTGAGGTTGTCATAATTCATGCATGAAAGGGTTAATTTTATTATAATTTTTTTTATCTTAAGGTGCCGGTGTTGGCCCAGTTATCCACATTGGTAAACCGACAGTTATCACGGTGGACGCCAAGGTTGCCGGACAAGGCAAGGCCACATGAGGTCACGGGTATCTGAATGCCAGCTTGACAAAGACATGGTTGAAAATGACGACGGCACATTCGACATCTTTTACACACCACCACAGCCTGGCGCGTATGTGATCTGTGTCCGCTTTGGAGGGGAGCACATCCCTAACAGTCCATTCCAAGTCATGGTGAGTGATCTGCATTTAATCCAACATACCTATGTCCTTTGTTGACAACTAGAATTTCATGAATAAAACTGAGTTTTCAGTCTCAGTCAAAACAATCGCAAACAGGCAGAGTACAGTTATCAAGAATGACCCTCGAGTTAGAGAAGCAGTAGTGTCTTATGATGAGTCTTAAGCTGCGTCCACGGTGAAAGCAGGTTGCAGCAAGCTGGTGACCCGAGAAAATAGAAAGTCAACGACATGAAGCACCTAACCAAATATTAGAATATATCAAATATATATAATTAATAATAATTAATAATTGCTTTATGTGATTTGAAACTTACCTTTCAAAGTATCCACCAAGGGACTTACTGTTCTTTAAGAACTTTAAAGATATCAGATCGAATAGTGATAAAACAAAGTCATACTTAATACACTTAAGGCCTGGCGATCAGTATGTCAACTTGAGGGAAGATCAAAGTTCACATCTATGTTCACCCCAATTGTGAATAACCTTGACTTTCAACCTGGGATGTTCGATACAGGTTTTAAGCAATGGAGGGACAAGGGGGTTCATAGGCTGAGGGACTTATTCTCCGACAATGTGGTTATGCCATTTGACCAAATGGTGGAGAAATATTCTCTCCCCAAACATGACTTCTTCTGTTATTTACAGATAAGGCATTATATCTTGCACAGTACTAATTTCAGTGAGAACCATGAAAGTTCTCCTGTTGAGAAATTATTAGTTTGAACAGATAAAGAGGTACCTGTGAAGATATTTTATAAGGCTTTATATCTCGCACATTCATGTTACAGTCTTAAAGGCACATAAGGAAAAGGAATTAGGTAAAATAATTGTTGATGAAGAGTGAAAAGATGTCCGCAATTATTCCAAATCAATCTCAGTCTGTAATCACACCAAAGCAATACAGTTAACAGTTAAAAATTATACACAGAATGCACATATCTACATACCGCAAACATCAATACAATCCTACCCTTTTACCCTCATATGTTTAGGAGAAATGTGTGGGCTCTAAAGTGCATAGAGAAAATAGTTTGGAAGGAAGTCACTAACCACTCTTTTTCTCTCTGTCAACAGGAAGTCCCTTGCAGTTCTACGTGGATTACGAACGGTGCTTATGGCCCTGGCCTTATCCACGATCCATCTGGAGATCTTCCAAGACTACATGCCTGGAAACATTCTGCCCGAAACCCACTGCTTCACCCCATTCATCATTAGTGTGCCCTAGGAATCACCAGGGGACAGCCTCTCTTACAACACCCTCGGTGCAAGAGGAGCCCTGCCTGCTGATGATTCTGCGTAGCGTCCATCTGATAAGTGAGAAGTTTGCCAAACAATGAGACTCATCAGAATCCAAATACTTTATTAATCCCTGAGTAAAAGACAGAGGGGGAAAGTAATAAAGTTAAAGCGTGGAGAAAGAAGCAGGAGCAACTGAGACAGGCTGCATGCACACACAAGAATAAGCGTTAACCCTCATCTGTTTTGTCTGTCTGTCTTAGGAATTTCCTTTGTTTCCAAGGAGATTGGTGAGCACCTTGTTAACATCAAGAAGAACGGTCATCATGTTCCCAGCAGCCCAGTTGCTGTTATGATCAAGCAGTCAGGGATTGGTGATGTGAGCCGTGTGAGTGGGCCGAGGCTGACCAGGCCAGGACTTTTCAGCCTGCAGAGTTCATCATTGACACTCATGATGCAGTTATATGCTCAGTGAAAGAATAGATAGGTGAGATCCTTTGGTGTGAACAGGACTATTCTAAGGACGTTCTACGACACTGTGGTGGCGTCTGCTGTCTTTTATGCTGTGGTCTGAAGTTCTCCAGAGGCCTGGTAATGAACTAATCATTTGATTCAGGTGTGTTGATCCAGGGTGAGATCTAAAACCTGCAGGACACCGGCCCTTGAGGCCTGGAGTTCGACATCCCTGGTAAGCTAACATCCATCATGGACAGCCCCTCCCACCCCCTGCATGAGACTGTACGAGCACTGAGCAGCTCGTTCAGCAGAAGACTTTTACACCCACAGTGTAGGAAGGAGCGCTACCAAAGGTCATTCTTACCAGCAGCTGTCAGACTCTATAATCCAGTTTAACATGGTTATCTGACTCATCATCTGTTTAATTGAAATATCAAATGTTTTTAATTGCTGCTGCTCACTTGCAGCTTGTTTGCACTGTATATTTCACCAGGATCATTCACCACTTGTGTACATATCTCTGTACACTTTCATCTTTACATGTGAATTTCAGTTGCTTACTTTGTGTCTTCCTTCTATATTTTATATTCCTCTTGCTATAAGAGCTGTGTAACACCCAAATTTTGGAACTACCGGTACTGGAAGGACTCTCTCTCTGCAAAAGGTGGCGTTACAGAAGATATCGGCTTGGAGGGACCTCTTCCAGGTGGATGAAAGATGGTGCTCGGCTCTTTATGAAACTGAAGCTGCTCACCAAAAAGCCCAATTGTCACATAGGGAGAGAATTTTCACAGACTGCATCCAGCTGAGGTGGCTAGAACTGATATCGCTGTGTCTGGATGCCCCCTGCATCAGCATGCCTCACCTACTCCAGCTAATCATGGATGACATGGAGCATGTCATCCAGCATTTGTCACGATGAGTTGTGTGGTTGGACCCAAGTGCAGCCACACAAGTGAGACAAAACATTAACTTAAATGGCGGCTTTACTTGCTGTTGCGACAAAACTGGGAATACATAAACAAAACACAAACTAACTAGACTGAAGATGCATAGCAGGGCTTGACTTAACCTGGAGATAGACGACGAGGAATACACACACAACAAATGTGGAGGACGCAACAACTGGCAGGGAAAAACACAGGGCTTAAATACATACTGAGGTTGAAAAATAAAAACAATTAAAAATGAAGCCAGTACAGCTGTGACAAACAATGTGATTCCTCCAAGAGTCATTCTCATATAAGCTCCCATGTCCACCTTTACAGCAGGAAAAAAAAAGCTGTTTTTGGACAGCATGGGCAGTTTCCTACTTTCACAGCAACACAACATATGTGACTTTATTGGCTTTAACAAAGACATTAAATCAGAGCTTTGGCATCTGGGACTGCTTATGCATTTACTTCAACCGGTGGCATCTGTCACTCTTATTAGCACTCACTTAAATTGCTTATGTAGAATTTGAGAAAAGCTTATCTTGGGTCTTGCCCACGTCCTATCAACTCAAGTTATCTCACCCATAAGTGCTTCATGTCGTTGACTTGACGCAGCTCAAGACTCATCATAAGACACTACTGCTTCTCTAACTCGAGGGTCATTCTTGACAACTGTACTCTGCCTGTTTGCGATTGTTTTGACTGAGACTGAAAACTCAGTTTTATTCATGAAATTCTAGTTGTCAACAAAGGACATAGGCATGTCGGATCAAATGCAGATCACTCATCATGACTTGGAATGGACTGTTAAGGATGTGCTCCCCTCCAAAGCAAACGATAACTTTTCCGTTACGTCTGATCTCTGTGAAATGCATAGCCAGTGCTCTGACACAGGGCCATCAACCTCTGAATGCTTAAAAAGCACCAGTGTATATAGAAAACACATTATATGTCGTGATAAATGCCCTGCCCAAGTGTCCCCTCTCCCCACTGCCTTTCAGCGGCAGCCAGCAGCAAACAGATCGTCAGAGGAGGCCGAGATGATGATCAAGTTTAACATTGTCTACAATATTGCCAAAGCACTTTAAGCACAAGCACTTTTTCAGTAACTTATCTTTCCTGTAGAATTGTGCTCCAAATAAAGAACTTTGTGTTGACAAGCTTGTTAGTTAATCATTTACAAATCAATATTATCTGTATGAACAGCAATTAAAATAAAGTGAAACATGTAAAACAGTGGGGTTCAGCGATGCGATGAAAAATTTGGGTGCACCTAACTTTTGTGCTGGTCCACCTAAGAAAAAAAGTTAATCCATACAATCTTAGTGATATTGATCACTAGTTTTAAATGTTAAAATTCAAATATTCAAGCAAGTCAATATTCGAGAAAATGCACGTAAAATAAATTAATATTAGTTGTAGTTGGCTTTAAACTTTGGGGTACCACCTCTCTACTCATTGGCTCTTTTGCCTCCAACAGCCACCAGGTTTGGTTCATACCTGAGATATTACAGATTATAAAGTCACATCTACCTTTTTATGCAATTTCCTTCTCACATGTACATTGAAACAGAAAAGGTAGGACTGACTAACAACCACATGAGCTTTCAGAGACTGATTATATACTGATTTTGAGTATAAACACCACCAAGATGCAAGCTTTGCTGCAGCAGATGTCATTGACTGCTTCAGGGGTTGCTCCCAGCAGCTGGACGGTGTCCTGGAGTAAAGAACTACATATAAAAGCATTTGAATGAAAACAACGGAATTTCAATAAAAAGAACGGAATTAGAATGAAATGAATAGAATTTGAATGAAAACAAAGGAATTAGAATGAACAGAACAGAGTTTGAATCAAAACAATGGAATTTGAATGAAAAGAACAGAATTTAAATGTACAGAACAGAGTTTGAATGAAAACAGTGGAATTAGAATGTACAGAACAGAGTTTGAATCAAAACAATGGAATTAGAATGTACAGAACAGAGTTTGAATAAACACAATGGAATTAGAATGAACAGAATAGAATTTGAATCAAAACAATGGAATTTGAATGAAAACAACAGAATTAGAATGAAAACAACAGAGTTTAAATGAAAACAACGGAATTAGAATGTACAGAATAGAGTTTGAATGAAAACAATGGAATTAGAATGTAAAGAAGCGAATTTGAATCAAAACAATGGAATTTGAATGAAAACAACAGAA